ACATCCCAGGACAAAGACGAAGACAATCTAAAAATTTCTGCCCGTACAGGAATCAAACCCCACTCCTTCTGTATGCGACGCTGAAGCGCCAAACCGCTACACCACAGACGCCGGTATTGCCCACTCACTTTGGTTTATCTTGAGCTCTTTCATGTCTCTTCTTATCAAGCAAGAGCGGCTGGAGGAATTTTCACCATTATCAGGTGACCAAAAAAACCCACAACTTTACCCACGGAGACACCCATCATAAAAAACGCTTAAAATAGAGATAGAAACACAAGATTTCACAGATATACCAGGTCACCATCTGAATTTATTGTGACAAATTTACAAATAAAACTTCTAATGTTGAAGGACGTTAGAGCCCATGCTTCATGTGAAGTCCGCTTCGGGCATACACGCTCTGAGCGCCTGACGAAATTGTCTATGACATGCTCCATTTGCTGAGCCTTTGATGTACCTGGATCTTGTACGGTTATACTCCAGATCGTACTTCAACAAGCTCCGCACAGATTCTACATCAATAGTTAATTCAATACTATGACGATGAACTGACTTTTTAGTTCTTCTTTCACAGACTCCACCACAGCCACATTCTCAGCAGTGCGCACTTGCATCGGTCTCCCACTGTAAGTGACCCTAGTTTTTGATCTCTTGTTTTTGTTTTCAACAGAACCATGTGACTTGAAGACCCATTTAAGTATTGTGTATTGTTATTTTACTTGATGTTTTCTTCTAGTGGGTGGTTGGCGAGTGCTCTGGTGTGGTTTGCTTCTTCTTTCCTATCAAACATCTATCGTCCTTATCTCCCCTTCTTTTTTATCTTTGTTATTCTCTTGTAACACCTCTAATCTTCTGGCGCTCATATGACCTTATGCAGTTGCGAGCGCCGTAAAACCTCTATTAAAACTAAACTAACTCTTACGGTCTTCGGTCTTCCAAACCGTTTACAGAAGAGATTCCTTGCCTGAAGAGGGTTCCAACCGTGAACGGTATCTTCGGAGTAGCCATGGCTGCTTCCAAGATATTGTTACGTGTTTCTCCTTCCAGATGGTTCAGCTAGCTTCCTGTTAATTTCTGTATGAAGTATGCACTTTGGTGGAGAGTTATAGGTTTTCACGCGAGTAAATGTTTTTTGGGGTCAGTTGGTATATAAAAGTACACTAGCTATTTTTGGAGAAGCCGTGCTGTTTTTTAGGCATTTAAGGTCTCTCGCGTTTTCTCTGTCGGCTCCACTATAAATATCAGAACAGCACGATTGCGGTTTTTTATTAGAGATCTACTCACCATTCACTTTAAGACTGCAGAAACAGCTAATAATGATAATGCTTTTTGCTTGAAACAGAAACACAGCTAATGTCTTTTGGACTAATGAAAAGGTTTTTATGACGATTGTAATGGTGGTGAACGTTGACAACCGTTTTTACGTCTGAGATTTCGACGAGATGTGATCGTAATAATGATTAAGATGATGTCGCTTATAGTGAAAGAGACCATTGTTCAGCAATGTAGTAGTCTTGGTTGCACTTTATCGTCATGAACAGACACGTTATAACGGCCACTTTATGTCCGCAATTAATCAAGACAAACGCTGCTTTAGAATTGCAAAGCTTTATCTGACATTTTTGGCCGTTTTCAGTTAAGACCGTGAAGTCAGAAACCAAAAATGTTCCATCTGCTCTGTGAAAATAGTTGGATTATTCGGAGTCTTTATCAAGACGTTCAAAGATTTTCATTTTAAAAAGTTTGAAATGTTGTGAAACTAAAAAAATTTTTGACGTTAGATTTCTCAAAACTAGGCACTGAGCAGATAAAACGTTATAATAACTTGGGTAGCGAATAGCAGCACGGAAAATGGAAAGAGGAAGATGCCTACGTCACAGTTCGAGTTTGTGTTGTCGATTAGAGACGTTACTATGTTGACAACGTCTCGGTTCGAGATCTGGCAATACATGTAAAGATCTTTTCTAAGTATGGGAGTAAAATTCTTTGGAACATTTTTAGAACTTTAATCTGATTGTACCAGAGAAATCGTTGATTCCCACATCTTTCTTGCCGAAGACCAATGCCTTACAAGACTTAAAGTAGGTCATTCATTAGTGGAGCACCAACTTATCTTCCCACCTCCCCGCCTTCTTTTAGACACAAGAGTGAGAAGGAAGTACTGTTAGGTGATGAAATTAATCATTTAAACCATGCCCTACTCCTTTTTGAGCCTCGAACCACCTCTGATAGGTCTATTTGTAAGGTGTAACGCTACAGGGGCCTGCTTGTAGACACAGCCTCGTTGATGACCTAAATTACGTATGTTGAAATGGCTTAAGACCATCCCCACAAAAGAACGCTGAGGTAATAAAATTAAATGTTGTAGGTTGTGCTATCGGTATTTTCGACCAAGTGCTGCCCAGTTTTTGACATTTGGAAACAGAAAGCATTTCTTTTATATTAAAAACATATCTTTTTTCCAGTGTTCCGGCTTGGTGCCGTTTTTTGTGTTTTT